CAAATTTTCCAAATTAAAAGATTAGGATAGAACACTAAAAGCAGCATAAGAAAACTAAAGAGTCACCTACAAAGGAAAAGCAATTAAATTAAGTTCTGGTTTCTCAGGAGAAGCCGTGTGAACTAGAAGACAATGGAATGGCGTATACAGAAAGATGAAAGAAAACAACTGCCAGCCAAGGATCCTATACCCAGCAAAACTCTCCATCAAATATGAGGGAGAAATTAGATCCTTTGCAGAAAAGAAGGAACTTAAGTCATTTTTGGAAACAAGAACAAACCTACAAAAAATATTAAAAGCAGTGCTTCACACAGAGATGCCAAAGGAAAGTGCATGGACCACAGTAACCAGAAAAAACAGAACAATAAACAAGGGAAAATGGCAAAAGTAAAACCTGATAATAATCACATCCAATGTGAATGGACTAAATGCACCAATAAGAGAAAAAGAGTATCAGAATGGATTTAAAAAAAAAACAAAACAAACAAACCCAAAGACCTTCAATATGTTGCCTACAAGAAGCATTATCTTAAAAATGGAGAGAAAGACAGACTCAAAATCAAAGGCTGGGGAAAAAAAATACACCAAGCAACTGGCAACCTCAAAAAAGTAGGAATGGCAATACAAATCTCTGATTAAATAGACTTCAGAATGAAAACTGTCATAAAAAATAAGGAAAGACATTGCATACTGACTAAAGGCACAATAGATCAAAAAGATATAACCTTGGTCAGGATTTATACACCAAATGATAGATCTGCAAAATACGTAAAAACAACAGTTAATAGACTTGAAGAAATAGATAGCACCACAATAGTGGTAGGAGACTTCAACACACCACTGTCACCAAAGGATAGGTCAACCCAAAATAAACTTAACAGAGATGCAGAAGAATTGAACTGTACAATCAGCCAACCTGACCTTGTGAATATATTGCGGGTACTACATCCAACTAAAATCAATTCATTTTCTTCTCAAGTACACATGCTACCTTCTCCAGAATGGATCACATTAGAGCACAAAGCAAGCCTTACAAATTAAAAAACACAGAAATAATACAAAGTATCTTCTCAGACCACAATAACATAAAACTAGAAATTAATCACAGGAGGGTAAAGCTTACAAAATCACCCATGTGGAGACTGAATAACTCTCTACACAATTGGGTTATAAAAGAAAGTTTGCAGAATCCCACAGGGCCTCCACAAAACAGAATGATAACAATTACAAAATGGGCAAAAGATTTTTCACAGAAAAAGATACTTGGATGGCCAACAGACACATAAAGAAATGCTCAAAATCACTGGCAATAAGAAAGATGCAAATCAAAACCACAATAAGATACCATCTCTTTCCAGTAGCAGTGACAAAGTGTAAAGGACAGCAAATAACAAATGTTGGAGAGGATGTGGGGAGATAGGAATTCTTATATACTGTTGGTGGGATTTTAAAATGGTACAACCACTCTGGAAGGCAGTTTGGCATTTCCTCAGAAACCTGAACATAAAAGAAATTCCATATGACCCAGCTATTCTAGCTTGGAATATACTCTGAGAAAATGAGAACTGAGGCATAAAAGGAGAGAGACATCAATGTTTGTAGCAGTGTTATTCACCATTGCAAGAATATGGAAGCAACCCAGTGTCTAACCATAATCAAATCGATTGAGAAATTGTGGTGTGTTCATGCAATGGAATACCACACAGCACCCGGGAGCAGTGATTTTGTAAATTATTGCCTAACTTGGGAGGGGCTGGAGACCATTATGCTGAGTGAACTAACTCAGCCCCATAAGTACAAATAATGTATAAGACCATTACTATAGAAAGTGTATGAGGATCCAAGGAGGAGGATGGGAGCAGAGTGATGAGGATGGGAGGAGTGTCGGGGGTTACACAATTTGATGGGTGAAGGGTGGAGTGGGTAAAGGAAGTGGGAAATAGCTGGTGCGAAAAACAATGTATATGAATTTTTAAAGTAACCCAGTACAAAAGAAATTTTACTTAAAAAAATAAATAAAGAAGAGCTGCAATGTAAACAGATATATGTGCACCCATGTTTACTGCAATATTATTCACAATAGCAAAGAGATGAAAGCAGCCCAATGCCCACTGACAAACAAATGGATAGAAAGAAAGTGGTGCATTCTCACTCTGGTATATTGCATTGCACTGAAAGGCAAATGTGAAACACTACACTACACAGATAAGTATAGAACAGATAATGCTGAGTGAAGCAAGTCACAACAGGACAAGAAATGCATCAGACCATTGGTATAAAAAAAACAAAAACAAAAACAAAACCCAACAGAATAAAACACTAATTTTTTTCCCCAAAAAAACCAACAAAGAAAAGTTTACATATAGAAAGAATCCATTTAATATGGTTACTAGGGGAGGAGTGAGAAATTGATGGGATAGACAATGAACACTTGATTGGACCAAGTAAAGGAAAGCACAATATGGGATGACTCCAAGGTCAGACACTGTGTAGGTTGTAAATAATGATATGAAACAAGATAATCATGATTGGTTGACTTGAGAATTAAAAAAACTAAGGCAAGGTTTATTCAGAGATAGAACAATCCTGAAGGATTGGCAGGGATGGAAGGGAGAGAGAGGGGAGCAGAGATTGTTAAGTGTGCCAAACCAAAGGGACTTACAAACTTCTGAAACCCTGAGCCATTACTGGGGCTGATTACAGAACAATAACAATAACAATAACAATAACAATAACAATAACAATAACAATAACGTAGTTCATGGTGGTCACAGCATGAGTACTGTGGGGCCAGGGATGAGTCTGTTTGTGGCTTCACTATAAAAGATGCTGGGCCTGTGGGCCTGTGGACAACCCCCTGTATCACTTCCTGGATCTGGGAGAAGGGACCAGTGCTATCAGACTTCTGTTTCTGTTGAATGAATGATGAATTCTTTAACTTTTGTGCTTTGTTATTGATGTCTACTTTTGGCTCCTATGTAACCATGGTTAGCCTATGTGTTCATTTAATTAAGCACCTTTGGAATCTGATTCCTTGTGCCATCCATCAGGATGACAGGATTAATCTCTAACTACTTTCTTCAGACTCAATGTCACCACTGGACCAATTGGCAGCATCAGGATGGATGGTGAAGAGATTGAGATTGTTCACAACTTTAGTTTGCTTAGCTCCACAGTCAACACTCTTGGCACCAGTAGCCAGGAAATTAAAAGGCGTTTTGCCATGGGAAAGTCTGCTGTTAGGGACCTCTCCAAAGTACTGAAGAGCAATGGTGTCTCTCTGGAAACTAAGGTGCATCTGATACAGGCCATGGTCTTCGCAATCACTTGTTATGCATCAGAGAGTTGAACAATGACCAAGGAGGAGCGAAGGAGAATTGATGCCTTTGAGCTGTGGTGCTGGAGAAGAGTATTGAGAATACCATGAACTGCTAGGAAAACAAACACATTCATCCTGGAAAGGGTTAAACCGGGTGGCTCCTTGGAGGCAAGGATTCTGGGGCTCCATCTAACACACTCTGGACATGTTGTGAGGAGAGACCGGTCCTTGGAGAAGGACATCATGCTTGGGAGGGTGGAGCAACAGCTCAGGAGGGGAAGGCCCTCTATGAGGTGGATTGATTCAGTGTCTGGGATAATCGGAATGGGAGTGTCAGAGACAGTGTGATTGGCACAGGACAGAGCAGAGTTTAGGGCTGTTGTACACAGGGTCACTATGAGTCACAAGCTACTCGACGGCACATAACAAAAACAACAACAACGTTCTTCAGTAAAACAGTTCCTGAATAAAACAACTATGGGATATTATCTCACCCCAGTAAGAATAGTAAAATTTAACAGAACATCAAACATCAAATGCTGGGGAGGTTGCAGAAAAACTGGAACTTGTATTCACTGTTGGTGGAAGTGTAGAATGATCCAACCACTATGGAAGGCTGTATGGCACTTTCTCAAAAAGTTGCAAATAGAAATACCATTTGACCCAGCAATCCCACTACTGGGAATTTACCCTAAAGAAACCATAACTACCATCCAAGGAGATATATGCTCACCCATGTTTATTGTGGCTTTGTTCACAATAGCAAAGAGCTGGAAATAATCCAAGCCCATCAACAAACAAATGGCTAGGGAAGCTTTGGTATATTTATACAATGGAATACTATGCAGCATTGAAAAACAAGGAACTCATGAAATATTCTATAAAATGGGTGACCCTGGAGGACATTATGCTGACTGAAATATCTCAGTCACAAAAGGACAAATACTGCATAGTGCCACTGTTGTAAATCAGGTCTGACAATGGAGTTGAGGGGAAACAAAGAGGGGATAATGTATATTGCATTGAAACAGATGAGGGAGAGAACTGTTTAGAAGGAATATATGATTAGTGTCATGACAAGAGTCCAGAATGAAAGCTGCATAGTGGAGTGGACTAGGCGGAGAATTGTATAACAATGAAAGCTTGGTTGTTTGTTGCTGTTTTTTATTTTTCAAAGAGAAAAGCAAACTGGGGGGAGGGGTGGGCAAGGAGGAAAGTGTGCAAAAATGAATAAATGGAAATCCAAAGTCTCTGTTAACTTTCATGAAAATATTTAAAAAAAAAACACACCCACAACAGTTCCTGAAACTTCAAATATGACGTAAATTGTCCAACTTCTAAACCCTGAAGCTCCTTCATGTTCAGTTCTGGTTATCTGGATCACCTACATTGTCTTACTACCATATCCTAAGCTCCCTGAAAGCAAGAATCGAGTTACTAGCAGAGGATCTTGCTCTCAGAGTGAGTTCTGGATCTGTCTTCTGAATCCATAAATGAATGGATGGATGAAGGAGTGAGGAAAGCACCAAAATGTTCGGGAATCCTTAAAATGTTCAGGCACTTCTCACCTGTTTTTTACTTCAAGAAAAGTGCCTAATGTAACTAAAGAGCAACACGTTTTCTCAAAACAGCTAGCAAGTAAAAATGAGACATTAAAATACACTGCTTTTGGGTTACTTACAGAAGTCTCCATACTCTGCCATGTGTGGGATATCCGGTAGCCCAACAGTTTCCCATCCTGCCGCTTAATCGGAGGTTTAAGCCACCTTATCTCCACATTATTATTCGATTCATTGAGAAATACAGTGACGTTCAAAGGTGCTTCAGATGGGGCTAGAAAAGAAAAAGAGGGAAAGTTTAAGAGTCAAAAAGAAAAGCATACATAGATTCTTTATCTACTTAGGCTGTGAGTGCTCTTGGCTTTTAATGTTCTATGAAAAGTACTCAAACAGGGGAGCTCTGGTGGCCTAGTGGCAAGAAGCTGTACTGCAATCCCAGAGGTACACGGTTCAAATCCACCAGATGCTCTGCCGGAGAAGGAGGGGAAAATTCCCTCCTGTACCAGTCAGATCTGATTTGATGGTACATGCACAATAAATAAAAAAAATCTAAAAAAAAAAGTACTCAAACGACATAGGAACTTGTAGCAGATACCCCACTCCTCCTTTGTAACTAAGGAACAATGAGTTAGGAGTTTTAAGATGCAACTCTTAACAGGCTATTAAGTATTAAAACACTCTGAAAAAAAAAAAACCACTCTGATTAACTAATCAATATCTTTTAAGTACATTGAACAATGTATTTTAAACAAAGGTGATTTAACTTAATGAGAAGGTTATCAAGCAATGCCATTAATATAAAATTATGCTGAAGATTATTAAAAAATGGCAGTACATTGGCATGGACTTGCCACACATTATGTGACTGGTGAAGTGTAGCTATCTTTAATCTTATTTGTTTTCTTGAATCTGAATAAAAACGTGTACATATTATATTTTTATTAAAAGTAATAAAGGGTTTTAAAAGTATGTGGCAAATATAATTTTCCCACGTAAAAGAAAGCTCGCTTGTCACTCACTCACACTCCCTGCCATTAAGTTGGAACTGACTCAGTGGGTTTTCAGAGGCTGTGAAAGGCACACAGGATGACTGCCCATCCCCTCAGGGTCTTCCCAGAGTCTCCCCAGAGGCTGAAGTTTCTCCCATAGAGACTGGCCTCTGCTCGCTTTGGTGGATTCGAATCCCAGAGAGGAGCCATCTCTGGATTAGCAGTGCAGCTCCTTATGGGCTACACCACCAGAGATCCCTATCTTGTCACAATACCTTTTTAAGTATATAAGGAAATACATTCTTCCTTTTTCATTGGTTGCCTCAAAAATATTCCAACTTGATGATACACAACAACAACAGAGCCAAAGGAAAAACAGAATAAAGCTCAAACTTTAAATTAGGCCACAGGGAAAGGTTTCTGTACCCTCATGCCTTCAGGACAACACTCACTCTGAACTCAGAATTACCTCCTTCCTTTGTACTGGCTAGAACCCAAGGGCTCATTGCAGACCAGCCAACTTCATTCCTGCAGGAAACTGCAATGCTGTAATTAGTGAGGGCCTGCAGCTGCTCAATTTCATATAGATGTGGTGAAGCAGAGGTGTTAAAAATCATGAGCGAGCCATTACTCAGCAGATCAACTTCCTTGACCTGAATGAAGAATGACATTGTGGACCACGCATTAGTAAAGAAATGGCAGACATAAGGCAGGCATGCATTCAGTGCACATGGCCCTTCCTCTCCAGGAAATGGGAAGGCCCTGCTTCCAATCAAAGTGGACACTTTCCCCATCATTATTACTATACATTTGCCAGTCTGTAGAGCAAGAAGTCAGGTTCTGGGGGAAATGCCTACAAGTAAATGATCTCACATAAAATAAATTTGTCCCTTCTCTCTCAAAAGCCATTTAATGTTAACTTGCTTTTCAGAACTGTTTTTACAGGCCAAATGGAGTGGACATCAATAACATGACATTGGGTTTTTCCTAATAAATTGAGATGTATCAGAATCAAAGATTTGAATTGGTAATGCGCACTGGGCCTATAAGCTGTGGTAGACGGTAAACCGTATCAGCCTGCTACCTGGTGCAGCCAGGCAGAGAGGGTCGGCGCCAAGTACCAAACATATCATTCGGGGCCAGGAGTGCTGACGACACTACCGATCCTGCAGACTTAAAAGAATGCAAAATCCAGGGTGCCAATAAAGCAAGGTTTTCCCTACATTTTCCTTCTTTTTCTCTCCCTCTGGTGGTTATTCCCCTGGAGTTCCATGGAATGTAAATATCTGTAATATCATTACTATCATATGGAATATAAGCTAGTTTTGTCCTTTTCACCCCTTCCGTTTTGAAAACTATATTATTCAAGCCATGAAATGATTTGTACTCTAACTTGTTTCTAGATGATGCAGTGAGTTAATAATTAATATGTCTTCACATGAAACTATTTCATGGTTGCTGAAAGGAAACAGCACTGGGTAGAATAGACCACTTGCTACTCTTCCTTGGCTTCCCTAGGAAAATCACAATGGCTAGGAGATGCCTGGCTCTATCTTGACCACACTCCACAGTGAAGAGATATTCTAGGCTCCATTCCACTTTGTTCCCCTGTCCTGTACCAGTGTGTTGAATATTAGTCTCAGCATTTCCCACAGTAAAAATACAAAAGGCATGAAGAAAGGAAAGCAGCTTCATATCAGAAAAGCAAATTGTGAATGGCATGTTAAAAAATCAAATTTTAAATGCTCATATTCTTTTAACAGGAATTCTGGTTCTAGAAATTATTCAAGTACAGATTGTTATATAAGTTAGAGATGTTTCCAAATTTGGATGTCAAAAGTTTTTCATTCATTAAAAATAATTTAGATATTTAAATCACTATGTATTCACAAGAGGTTGTTTAAAAAAAGAAAGAAAAAGAAGTTCCAAGTACCTTTCACTTAGATTCCATCAAAGATAACACCTCATATAACTATAGAAGAAAATCAAAACCAGAAAACAGATGCTAGTAAAACTCACAGGGTTTATTCAGATTTCTTTAACAGCACACATCTGTGTTCAGCAGCTTTACATAACCCACGTGATTAGCAACTGGTAATATGTGGCACATACATGTTATGGAATATGCTGTCAAGAAAAGAAATTAAATTCTTATATATATCAGGGAGCTCTGGGGTCCTAGTGGCAAGAAGCTGTGCTACAATCCTGAAGACACTCGGTTTGAGGCCACCAGCTGCTCTGGGGGAGAAGGATGTGCGATTAACTGCCTCTGAAAACCCCACCAGAGGGTCAGCTATGAATCAGTTCAGTCTCCACAGTACACAACATATATCAAGACATAAGTGAACTTTGAAAACATTATGTAAAGTGAAACAAGGCAAACAGAAAAGGAGAAATAAAGTGAGACCTTACTTATGTAAAATATCTTGCTGTTAGTTTCAGTACAATTGGCCTTTGAGTCACAGCAATTCTGTTCATAATGGAGTGCTCAATACAAGGTTATCATTTCACAGGCTCTGTGGTGATGCAGTAGGAAACACTAGTGGCTTAGTGGAAAGGAGCTATGCTGCTAAGCCAAAGGCACACGGTTCAAATCCAGCAGCTACTCAACAGGAGAAAGACAGGAATCTCCCCTCATGTGATTTACAGCCTCTGAAAATCCATTGGAGAGTCAGCTATGGCTCAGTTTTGACTTGACAGTGGTGGTGCAGAAGGTGAAGTGTTGAGCAGCTAATCAAAAGGGCAGTGGTTTGAACACATCAGAACAGAAGAGACTGTCTATTCCTGTAAAGAATTTACAGCCTCAGTTCCCCCTGCAAATAGGACGCAGAAAAGGTTGCCTTTTACCACCACTACCTATCTACATACCACTTCTACAGGACACATCGCCTTTGCTTGGGAAACATTACCACTAAACTTCAGAGACACTGGTCCCAACATAAGGAACTACCAGCAGGTGATGTGTTGGAATCACAGAAGCCAAGGAAGCATCATATATTAAGCTAATAGATCAATGGCTGGTCAATGGGCGATAGATGTAAAGGGAGTGGGCAGAAGTGGATGGGTATCTTGCCTGGTGGATGGTGGAGCAGGGAAATAAGAGGGTAAAGACACATGTGCCAAAGGCAGGGACAACACTGACACTAACGGTTAACTCCACAATAAGGGATATACCTTTCACTTTTTCCATAAAATGCTGGTCTGTCTGATACTTCTCTAAATCTGAACATTCAGATTAAGGCAGACTAGGAAGAAGGATTGGCCATCCACTTCTGAAATAGCAGGCCTCTGAAAACCCTATGTACAACAGAACACATGTAGATAACAGAAAGGGCAACTGAGGTTGAGCTTTCTAGTATGGAAATACAAAGGAAGAGGAACAGTTGTAAGGAGACACTAGTGATTGGGACATGGAATGTAAGAACCATGAATGTAGGAAAATAAGATATTGTTAAGGAAGAAATGAAATGCATAAATATTGACATACTAGGCATTGGGGTGATGACATGGACTGGCATGGGGTATTTTGAGTAGGATGATCATATGATATATTACTTCAGAGATGAAAAGGTGAGGAAAAATGGAGTTGCTTTCATAGTTAAAAAAGTCATTGCTAGATCCATCTTGAAGTACAATATTGTGAGTGACAGGATAATATCCATACACATACAAGGAAGTCCAGTGAATACCACTATCATTCAGATATATGCACCAACAACCAGAGCCAAGGAAGAGGAGATAGAAG